CCAAGTCCCCCAATCTGGTCACTGAGCTCTGTGCCTCCATGGCCATTTGCGTTGACACCACACTTATACAGCCATTTCCTTTTGCAGGGGAGGGAGAGAGGAGAATTGAGAAATGGGAATATTGACCTCATACAAGATCAAATTCAGGATTTCCAAGTGGTCAGTATTCCCATCTATACATAGATTAAAACCTCTATAGATTTCTATCAATCAGCATAAAATTGCATGCACAAGATCCTATCATTCATATTGCTATTTATTGGTAAGAATAATTATTTCCTTCCTAAAAGAAAATTAATTGTAATATATGAATCAGCTAATGAATGTAGGCAGACAGACTTTTGCTGCATCTGTAGCAGGCTATTCTAGCCAATTTTTTTTATGCTTACTTTCATTGTGGTACTTTTCTTCAAGGGTCTGAAAATCACTTTTTTTTTTAAGTTCTATCCATCAGAATATCAACAGTGGTTTCCAGTTCCTAGAAGAAGAGAGACAGCAATTCCAGCAGGTTTCCAAATTTGATTAAGACAGCTATACAAATTTTTGCCACTGGTCTTATGTTGATTTTGGAAAAATAAAACAGAGGGTTTTGCCCCTCAAATGATGACCCAATCATCACAGTAACCTCCACTCATTAAAGCTCTTTTTTCTAAGTACAATATTTCCCAGCCTGCCCCCAATCCAGAGGGTATGGTAAAAAAAAGTCAAGATGGTGGCCATGATAGTGTGATTGAAACTTCACCTGTTTTTTTATGTATATTGCACATTAAAAAAATCAGGTGGAATTTCAGGAGCACTGCCATGGCTGCCATCTTGATTTTTTTACCATATCCTGTGGACATCCCTGAGCTGGTGGTATGGTTTCCTGTTGGTAAATGCTGCTAGGTACGAATGAAAAGGGTGGTAGGGATTCCACCAGTAGTTGCTCTGAAACAATTCCACATTACAGTGTGCAAGCAGCACAATACCATCCCCGTTGCCAAGATGCAATAAAGACAGCTCATGCAGGAAGCACATTTAATACCAACCTATTTTCCTCCTGACTCAAGGATGGGTAATAGAAGGATAGGACCAAAGGAAAGTTGTTTATAATTACTTATCATTTCAAACGATCCATATTAATTTTGACATACTGAATGTAATGCAGTTCATTTATTTTTATTAAAAATAATTTTGTGCCTCCTGTCAACAAACATTGCTATGGTAGTGTACAGCAGATCAAAAAAGCAATATATAAATGTGTAAAAGGAATAAAACATTAAAAATAAAACACATACAAGACTGACTTTAAGTGCCTGAAATAGTTTTTCCTGTTATTTTATTACAAATGCCAATAAATTGGAAAATAGTCCATGAACTAATATCTATGTTCAATTCTCTGTTATATCAAAAAGTTATATTTCTAATGTACATCATGTTAATCACCACCATGCTTCCCTCATAGCTGGCAGAATACCCACTCCATTAAGATGTGTTGGTTTAAACCAGCTTTAGACAACATTAAGGGTATGCTCAGGGCAGGATAACTTTGGGGCCTCTGTATTATAGAATCTCTGCATCACATCTGTGCCATGACCTTGATTATTTCTTATTTTGACACAGAATTTGGAAACAGATACATTATTTAATTTCCTGTTCTGTGACCGGATATTTCTCCAAAATTGGAAGTTATGTTAAGTCTATCCAAATCCTGGGGATTTGGAGTTAAAAAAATGGCAGCTTCTAGTAAGGTACTCCTGTTGACCAAGTCCTGGAATAGTAATGTGGAAAAGTGATATAATGGTAGGTGTATCTGACTGAATGATTTGTGACTTGAGTAGTTTTTCACAATTAAATGGGGTGTCAGAATTTTTTTTTCTATTTTACATTTCAAGCAAGGCATAGAAAATGTGGACTACAATTAAATTAAAAAAATATTAAAAAGCTCTGCTAATATCTCCATTATACATACAGTTTTTTGGTATTAACCTTTAAAGCCTTTTCCACCAGAATAGAATCAGTATAATGTTAATCAAATATAAATTATTTCAGTAAAAATTGAAATGTTATAGAGATTCTAAATTTTCTAAAATCTCAAGATTATCATTTTTACTAAAACTGTTTCAACAACTCTAGAATGAGGTCTCCACCTTAATTACTCTTTAATAATAATTGATTTCATACAATTTCCTTTAAAACGCGCAAATCAGTTAACAAGGGAAACCACATGAGCATTTTCCAAATTAGCAAATCATTAACTCAGTAGTACTGTTTCTATAGACAAATAATTACTGATTAAGGAGCCTGGAAATCTGAGAGTAACAGTTAAATTTACAAATCTAACACATGCTTTCATGAATATTACAGTGAAGGAAATATCAAGTGTAAAAAAATAATAATAATTAAGTTAATTCCAATTTAAACAGTAGGTTTTAATGTAGCAGACCAAGTTTCACATAGGATTTAACAGCTAATATTAAATTTCTCACTATTAATGAGAAGACTCAGATTTAGTGTCCTACAGTGAAATAATAATAATAATAATGATTCAGCTAATATTATTATTTATTTCTAAATAAAGGCATTATAGATTTCTTGAACAATGCAATATATAAAAGTGTTGATGTAAAGCAAAAAAAAAAACCCCTTATAAATAATTATAACAATGTTTAGATTGTCATCTCTACCATGAGAATTAGTTAGATATAAGTATCATCTAAGAAGCTACATTAAAAGTGACTTATAGTATAAACAACAAGCCGATTCCTGAACATTTTGTACATTTCAAAACAAAAAACAACAGTAATTGTTGTCAAATAAGAGCACGGGCTAATTGTAATATAGCTATTGCACAGAGATAAGCCAGAACAAATATTTAGAATCAGGGTGCAGGACAGAATACTTTATTTTAAAGACAATAGATAACCAGACTAAACCCCCACATTATCCCGCACACTGAAATTGTGAATATATTGTCAGAGGTTTAACACAAAGGTGCCTTTAAAACAGTTCTTTGGAAGACGGTTCTATTCACTTGAGCCTATGCAAGCATCTTCCAATTACAAAGAGGACCGACTTCTTCCAGAAGGAATACATTTTGGCTGCTTTTTTCAGTTTCAATTAATCATGACACAACCCCAGAAATGAAAATGTCTCATAAGAATAATTCCAACTACAAACTGCACCAATGAATAACAGTGCACAAACCTAATTATATGCAACTGTGCAGCTGCAAAAATAGGTTAAATCTGTCTAAAGCTCTGAGATGATTTTTAAAGGCTGGTTTGTTAGGCAGTGTTTTCTTAAGAAAGGCCGGACCCTCAGTCCTAATCAGCCAATAAATTATTTCCTGCAATTATATTAAATAGAAAATTATCTTCAAATTGGGAATGTTAATTGAAAATCAAAATTCAGAGTGAAGTTTAGAAATTACATGCTGAATATAATTAGCCTGGAAAGACTTCACCTCAGTTTCATAAACAGGCTTCGGGTAATTCCTCAAGTGACCATTCCAGGGGAAAAAAAAAAAGCTATTCTGTCAAAAAACCAAAACAGTGGACATAGCTATCATCCATCCATCTTTCCTTCCTTCCTTCCTTCAGCCATTTTTTATTTGTTCATACACAGAATCCCCACTGTTCATATCACCGGAGAAGTGCTAAAGACAAGATAAATATAGCTTATAGAATGTGACATTCCTTTAATTTTAACAAGAAAAAAAATTATTTATTACAACTGGGCATACCTGTTCTCTTTAAAAACTTACAAATCACTAGATCCTGAACACCATAAAACTATTTCAGTTTCTTTGCTCATAACCTTCAATGTCATAAAATGGCAAAAACCGCCCCATTCCACAAATAAAGGTAATTTAACTGCAGTTCAGTGGTGGATTCAGACTCTAAATTCAGTGATGGATAGATGAGCAGTTGTGTTTTTACTCCATTCCCATGCATACTCACAAAGGTTATCCAAAAAATAGTTACCTTAGCTTTTTATTAAAGTGCAAGTCTACTTTTGATTTGTTCTGTTTTACCTTTCTTTTTCACTTTTAAAGCACATAAGATTTACCCTTCATGAGGAGATGAAAGGTGGGATACAAAATAATAGTAGTTATTGCTACCATGGTAAATAATAATCTAATATTGCTGTTGCTGCTGTATCTATTTTAATGGATAATTCAAATAAAAACATTATGCTGCAGTACTTAAGATATAACAGACTCTTTTGTAATTTAAAATACAATGAGCGCAATACACTCAGTTCTTTGGGTATATGGATTCTCTTAAGATCTCATGGCCTCAATTACTGATCTCTAAAGATGGTACCCCTGCCTAACTTGAAGAATGCATTTGCTTATTATTTGGTGTTAAAAAAACAACAACAACCTCAAATTGATACTCCTCCTCTTGCCACACTTTCTGCAGAAACTTTTCTCACTC